TGATGGAATGCCTTCGTGGATTATAGACGAAATAGAAGAATAGAAGGATTTCACTTGAATGTAGCGTGGAGGGAAATTGAATTGGAATACAAAATTGAACTGGAATTTCAACTCCAGCTTGACTGGTACGGGTAGAAGTTGGGATGAATGAAAAGGCTGGGGATGCTGATTTAGGTTGCAAGAATTGTAAAAAAGGGGACTGCTTGAAGGTAGGAAGTGGAAACAGGGATGAAGATTACGAATAATGGAGTTGTACGGGTTTATTTTGCTCAGGATGAAATTTAGTGCTGAAATTCAAGCCATAGGTTTATGTTTGTCAGCCTGCTGCTTAGCTCAGTATCAGATTTCTTGCTTAGCTTCATACAACCATAAAGGAATTTGAATTAAGATTCGATTAGCTGATAGAAAACATAGCATTATTGCTGGCAAGCAAAGCCACCAACGACGATTATGTAACAGCGAAAGATTGTTAAACCCAAGATATGCTTCGGAATAATTTTGGAACAACGGGAAGCCGTTGCATTCGTACTTTTACTGTTTTTGATTTCAAGCAATGTTGGCCAGATTTTTTGTTTAGCAAATTCTGCCCATTTCTGTACCAATATCGGATTGTGTATTTTCGTGGGGTCCTTCACGCAAGTATCTTTCAGCTCCAGTTTGGTGAGAACCTAAATCGAGAAGGCAACATGCAACTGGTACACTTGCAGTTCTGATTTTTTCCTCCACATTCCCAAAAAAAAACAAAAGCTAAAGGCTTCGTGGGTTTATGATTGTCTTTCCGTCCCACAAACGAATGCATGTCGCGTGGCCGAGCCGAACCGGGTTTTAATAGTTGCCTGTTTTTTTTCCCCTTCCTTGCTAGTCCACTGACAGTATTATTCGACCCGTACTAATCCTTTGCAGACATTCTTGTTCGAAAGAGTGCCATGTGAATGTCAATTTAGAAATGTTTGCATCTTTAAAATTTCTGAAACACTTGGCCTGTGCAGTAAGTTTAATGGTTGGCCAGATTTTTTTATGATTATTAACAAATTATGCCCATTTCTGTACCATAGCGGGTTATACACTTTCATGGCTTCTCATTTTCTGTTAAAGCTCATTTCTGCATTTTTACTCTGTTTTTGTTGCGCAGCTTAGTCTCCGAAATAAAACTCTTTGCTTGAAGTAATAGCGACACTCACCAGAGCATCATGCGGTGCGATCATGCGTTTTGCGCAGGTTGGTCTAACGGACGTTTGTTGTTAAGAATTTTCGCTCTTTTACACTTCGCTGCGTGCAAAAATAATCGGTATATCGTCAGGTTCGTAAGCTGCAAGCGTTCCTACCAGAAATTTTTCACGTGTCGGTGCGTGAAGTTTGAGCGCGCGTGGAAGCTGAATTTGAAATCTTTGGATCACACACGATAGAAGACATCCACAACTTCAGCTTCTCAGCTTTCCAGCCTCCGAATTGAAAATGCGGGGTAAAACACATTCAGACAGAGACACACACACAAGGGCATGATAATATGAGTTTTATGCAGTTTTACAGTACAAAACGTATAAAATGTGGCTATCGTGAAATGGCGACTTTTTTTTTGTGGAATAAAGCAGGGATCGCTTATAACTTTCTTTTGAAAGAGTAAAGACGACTGCCCATGTTCCAGACTAGGCCTAGTGAAGCGAAAATCGGCTTCCTGATGCCAGAAAAATTCACCAGAAGCCGCGAAAGGTTGCATGTCTCGAGTCGAGCTGGATTTTGCTGTACAGATCTTATCTAGGATAACGGGCATGGGACATGACTGCTGTGTATGCGTCATGGTATTCCAATTCCAGGAATCCATGTACACTGCTTAGAGCAATTGGAGCTGCGGTACGAAGTGAGTACGGTTTAATTCATGCAGTGTGGCTCACACCTTGTAATGCAACTGAAGTTCAGCCCATAAGTTCGAGTTGGACTTCAAACTCTTCTTCCAGTAAAAACAAAGTATTTAACTGTAGCTCGCAACTGCAACTTCCATTATTGTGATTATGCGATTTGCTTATATGCAAATGCAACTTAGTAGAAGGCGTGCCGGCTGCAGGTAGGAGGATGCGTTTTTTGCACAGTTCCCCCGCAGGTTTTTATGCGTTTTTTGCAGCAATGCAATGCGGAAAACGCATATTGACGAGAGGTTGTCTGTGTG